CCTATTTGCTTGCATCAGTGTAGTTTCCAAGGCTCAGCTACGTAAATCAATAGTTACTGCAAAGTCTTACATCCTGCCCTTGGAAAGAACAAGATTCCTGTACAAATCTCCCTCAGAAACAATGCACCATGAGACTTCTCCAGCTTTAATTCATCTTCCATGGCCTGATGTCAGGCAGGCAGCCTAGGAGAGACAAAGATGGATTTGTGTTTTCACTTTCTTCATACTGGTCTGCAAATGGTTGTCCTGGCCCTGCCAGGAGCATTGAAAAACATGCTGCTAGCTCCCCCACCGCACTGCTTCCCCCACCTCCAGCACAGTCAGCTCTGCAGCCCCTGGGCACTACCCTGCCCGCAGGCTTGGCCATGCCTCTGCTTTCACCTGCTCCTGGGTGCCCAAGCCCCGGGAGAGTCACCATTGACAGGGCTGCCCTGCACTGATGGGTTGCTGTGAGGAAGGACGGGGAGATAAAGGCACAGCTTTGGGAACTGACTTTGATTTGAAGGGATATTTACAGTTCTCTTGGCTCAGTCCTTTTGTGAAAGAAAATAAAAAGGTGTTAATTTAGTTTTTAAAGGCAGCATCTTTCACAGTGTGACTGACTGCCAGCCTGCCTATCACCACCCTCAACACTGATCAGTCCTAGCGCTGAAGGACTCTTTTATGAAGTCCAGGGTAGCAGTGTTCAGCTGCATGACTGCATGCTGCAGCTGGTGGCAGAGGTGAAGCATCCTTTTGCAACCACTGCTTCCCTCTGTCTACCTCTGCTCTCTCCTTCTGTACTCCGTAGCTCAGCTACAGAGGAGGATTTTGCTGGTTGACAGTTGTGCAGCATAACCTGGTGCATAGCCCAAAGGGAGGAGGTTGTTCATGCTAGGCAGAGCACTGAGAATTCAGGAGGGACTTTTATAACCTACTGAACCACATCAGACCTAGGAAAGATCTAAAGATTATGTAGTTCTTTTCAATGTTTTCTTTCCTCACCCCTGCTTTTTTTTAATGAAGGCCTGCTAATGGTTTATGGTGGTTGAAAAAACAGTTCAAGTTTTGCCCCTGTATCAGAGTGGCAGTGAAGCGTGTGCGAGGGTTTGCTCAAGTGGCAAAGCATATCTGATTTGAAAAAAAGCAAACAGCTGAGGCCATTCGAACAAGTCATGCTCCTGTACACTTTTAATCAGTTGTGTCTGACAAAAGAGATGTTGCACAAGCAAATCTGGCTTCATGCAACAGGAACATTTTTGTGTGTATGCAAGCTGGCTTCGACTTCTTGATAATGTGGTCTCTGGAAGCAGTGTTACTGTGTTTGTTATATCCCTGGCTGATGGAAGTACCTTAATATCAAGGTATTCATGGTTGGTGGTTTGGTATGTAGCTCTACGTTTTATTGACTTTGTCTGCACTAACCTTCCTTACCAGCATGTGCTCTGATGGGGAGTCTCCTTTGGCTATTCCAAAGGGCTGGTGAAGAAAGGAGATAATTCATAGGGCATTAGAGTGCTAGACAAGTCTGAGAGGATTTCATTTTTTTCCCTCTTGAAGTATCTGTTTCCTTAACTGTACTTCATTTTTATTTGCAGCTACAGTTTGAGTAGGGTTCTTTTACAGTAATAAAAAATACTTTATCAGTGTAAAATCAGTTAGCTAATGGACAGTAGATGCTCTTTTAATTTAAAAATGTATACTACTATTATTATTCAGGCTTGTTTGCTGATATTAACTTACTGTGGTAGCCGTGCTTTCTGATTTAGAGGGAAAGAAATAGAAACCAAACACATCAAAATCTTTCAGCTGAGGTGCTGGGGATGGTTGTCAGGGTGTAGAGTATCTGTGGTGCCTATATAAGGTATAAGATGGGAAATAGTAATGCAGGTGTTATAACATGGGTTTTATACATATGGACATCCATGAATCATTTATTGTGGGATATTGTACTGATCACTTCACTCAGGAAGCAGTGGGGAAGTGGAGGGTAGCGGAAAACCCTCCTCTGAAGCCTGGTTTTGTTCCACTGTTTGTTTCATCAGAGTTTCTTCCCCTAGATGACTGCTGCTGGCTGCTGTCAGTGATAAGGGAGGGGAGCAGAGGCAGTGCTGCTCTGACGCTGCGTGACAGATCCTCTCTTCCCGTATCAGTGTGGCAGAGAAGAAGGGAAGTATTTCTGCAGGGAAAGGAAACTGAGATGAATTTCCCTGGAGACGAAAACAGCACTAGAGGAATTCAGGATTGTACAGGAAAAAGTGATGTAAGAGAAAAAAAAAATAGGAAGCAAATCAACACAAAAAATACCCTACCACCAAAAAAAGCACCAGAAATTGGCTGGGATCCATTTCAGGAAATCACTGTAAAGCTGAGTAACTTTGTCACATACAGAAATACAAATCAAGGGAGGATACAAAAGATGACAGGAGGGCTCTGATGCAGCCTCTTTCATCTATGGCAGACTCCAAAACTAACAGCTCTGCCATACTGACCTCACATGTGGAGATCAACTTTACACATGGGGACAGTAGAGAGACACACTGAGGAACAGCTTTGGTTGTGAGTTGAAATACAGTCTGGAGTGTGCCAGACATTGCCTAGGGCTGCAGCAAAACTTTACTTCTCAGGTTCAGCCTGAAATGGCAAATTTTGCAGCTGTCCCTCTCTCGGCATAGCACAGGGAAGACATTGTGCCTTGCAACTACCTTCCTACCCCCCATCTTGTGGGGGGAACTCTTCTGCTATGGCATTTTGGTACGTCTGTGATGTTAGGTGTTCTCCACCAGGTCTGGAAATGTGGCAGGCTGCAGTGTCAGGATTTTCTCGGTTCAGGGCTTCCAGACAGGGAACAACGTATTTCAGGGCAGAGCAGAGGCAGGGGCAAGAACTCTTACCAGGCCCTTGTGCAGGTTGAAGCCGTCACCTAGCTGGTGCTGCAGGCGAATGGTGCAGTGTATGTGTACCAAGTCTGGCATATGAAGGAAGTATCAGAGCCACGGTGTATGTGGGGCAGAGCTGCTCTGCACAGCATGCCCAGTGCATTCCAAACATGCCAGATTTACTACACATATTGCTGACCACTTGTGCAGAAACCAGTGTTTCTTGGGCATGGTAGAACCATGGTGAGTGTGGTGTGTCGAGTGTCCATGTGCCCCTTGCCTTGGGCCACCCATGACCCTGACCAGGTAAGCCTGCTCTTCGCTGAGCCCACGAGTCCTGTCCCTGCCCCACCAGCTCAAGCCCACCAGCTGGAGCACCGAGGAGGGAAGGTGGAGCTTTGACCGTCTCCATCCTCGTGGCCTCCAGAGGAGGAGGAGCCGGCAGCCCTGGGGAGCTGCTCCCAGGAGCAGGCGTCCAGGTAGGCTGAGCAGGGGGATGGGATGGGGATGTGTCCCTGGCACTGGATTGGAGAGGCCAGCTGTCTCCTGGCCTAGCAATTTGTGGCAGAGAAATTTGTTCTAACAACATAATGTTTGTGCCTGGAAGTAATGGCTAAGGGGAAGTGTGCTTGAGAGGAAGAAGTGTACTTATTTTGGGACAGATTTTTGCACACTTTTTATAACCATGGCTTATCTAGGGTGAGGCCTGGTGTGAGGAATGGAGCCTCTTCACTAAGCGGTATGCATTTTCCTAAAAGGTTTCCCATTAGAGGTTGCATGTATTTACTGCGCACTGACAGTAGCGCTTGATTTTGAGTTTGCCTAAAGAACAGTTGCATGTACGCTCCTTCCCACCCCTACCCCTCCCACCCCCCCCCACTTTCCCCCCCTGTTCTTTTTTTCA